CGCAGACGGTAAGACTGGAGAAGAATCCGAAGGTAAGCCGACAAACATCCCCCCACAGTCGTAACGGTTGTGGCTGGAGTGGAAACCGATGAGGTTGCTCAAGCAAGGTGGTAGCCCTTTGTGCCGATGTCGATGTAGCCGAGAGCGTAGAGTGGTCCAGCCATGGTTGAGGCAGCCGTGCGAGGGACGCCGTGGTCGATGTCGAGTCGGGGTGACCGGTGTCGAGGTAGTTGTCGTGGACCGGAAAGAAGAGCAGCGGCGGCGGCGGCTAGGTTAGGAGTGCGGCGACGGTGCTTGAAGTAGGCGAGGAAGAGCTTGAAAGCATGACGAAGACCGGTACGAACGGTGGTGTTCCCGCGCCTAGGGAGGCAGCGCGACACATACCACGTAGAAGTCGACGCACGGGGATGGCGGAGTAGACCGCATGCCACGGCACTACGTCATGATGAGGCGACGCAGCGGCAGCGCGATGGTCGATGCAGCCACGGAGACGACCTGAAGCGGACGGCCTCGAGGCGGTGGTGGACCGCGGCCCGCGACACTACGGCCCAAAGGGCGACGCAGCGGCAGCACGCGGGTCGGTGCAGCCGCGAGAAGAACCACAAGATGAGGACGCTACTGTCCGATGAGACGACGCAGCGGCAATCCGGTGCTCAATCGGTGGAGAGGCGCGCATACGCGACGAAGATATTCACACAAGATCCTGCAAAGGACGAGGCACCCGGCCAGACGTGGCATGTCATGCAACGGGCTGGACACATATGCAGAAACACCAGCGTGAGACGCATGATGTACCATCAGCCAAGGCATGCATGCACACACACACACACACGTGTTATCCAGGCCATGTGATGTGAATCAACTTGGCCTGCTTACCCTGCGCGGGCGGCCGCCAACATAGGCGCGCGAGCAACAACCCATGTCCGCGCGGGGCGCGTGAGTAGCCGCGGGGATCGAGGCCACCGGCACCCGGCCAAAGCCAAACCGCACGAGCGGCCACCACACCAGCGCACGGACGCATAGCTGCTTAGGCGCGGTGCAGCAACCAAACCAGATGGATACAGACCAAGGCGATCTGAACGGACCACGGCGATGACCCGGCAAGCACGATGTGTAGATGGATACACGGGTGACGGTACGTCCTCCAGGGTGTCGTGTGCGTGCCAGATCGCACAGCTGGAGAGGTTGGTGTTGTCGATGTCGAAGTGAGGCGCGTGAGGGTCGACGGGCGGCGGTGGGCGACGCAAACCGATCTATAGATCGGAAAACCAAAAAAGAACACCGATCAAACGACCGGCGAGAGAAAAAACCCGGATCAATTGATCGGGAAAAAGACTCTCTAGGGCAGCCGATCAACGCGATCGGCGGACGAACCCTAGGTATGGGCGGCTTGGCCCCCGGTGGCGATCATGGAGATCGACCGCCCCGGGGGCGGCGCGGTGTGGAAGCGGCGACGGCTAGCGCTGTGGATCGAGGTTAGGCTGATACCATGTTAGAAGGGATAGAGAGTGATTGGTGAAATTGTTGATATATTGCTTGAGCCTCGTGGGCATATATACATGCAGGGGCGGGCCCAGTACAATTCATGGGTATTCTTTTTTTTTGCGGGTGCATTCATGGGTATTCACTTCAATACCCATTATTTTGGCCAAAATATTATGTATATATAGTGTGTACCATGTACTGTATGAAATAAAAACGAGATATAGACAGAATAGCAGATTGTATCGCTTCCAGCCGAAGGATTAGCCAGCCCACCTCGTGCTTCTCTCCCTTTCACGCTCCAACATGGCCTAGTGGCCCAAATCTCTTTTCATCTAGTAGGTCAGTCCCAGCCCAATTCAAAATTATATAGTGGTCGTGGGCGCAATCAGACGCAGCCCTGATCGATCATCGATCGGATGAACCGCTCCGCCCACACTCCCAGTTCTCATCGCTAGAAAAAGCACCATGGTCCACAGCCGCACGGCGGCAGGAGCATCGGCGCGTAGTGGCGGGCTGACACGCGACCGCGACGCACATGCATCCAGGGTGTGAGATTGAGTCGAGGCATCAATCTCGTTTGTCAGTTGACACATCAATCTTTTCAGATACGTTTTCTATTCTTTTTCTCAGATGTGCATTATGGCCTTTTAGATTAATTCTTAGATCCCCTAAAAAAGGTTATTCTTGGATGGTTGCCCAGATTCATTTTTATGGAGGTGCTACAGAGTCGTTTGTTGGGCAAATATTTTTTTGTTTTGGATGTTTTGAAGAAGTTGGCATTAGTAGTACTGGATGTGAATTTATTTTGATGTACCGGCACTAGTACTAGTACCGATTGTACTCTGCATTGTTGTTAGATGTTACCACTTCATATGTTTAGTAATTAGTACTTTCATACATTCAACAATTCCAAGTTTTGATCCTAGATCAATAAGATGAATCTATGATGCTATTCCAATTTCCATGTTTTATCTTTTATATATTATACAATTTGTATAAAATGATGCCATCATCATTTATACATGCCAAAAACAAGTTGTCAAAAAACTGTAAGCTCTTAAGATTTTGAATACACACTCTTAAAATCCTGGGCCCGCCCCTGTATACATGAGTACATGATCATCTTGGAGTACAAGGCAAGGTAGAATAAATCTTACGCTATCCTATGTTCCCTAAATAAACATTATACTCAACAGTATGGATCTGGCCTAGGATCATGACTGGTCATGTTGTAAACTTAAACTTTTCATAAAAGCATTGGAGCATGCAGGAACTTAGTGTGGTATAAGGAATTTGCAAAGTTTGGATATACACCTTCAGTTCATCATCACAATTTTGTGGCAGATGATAGTATTGAACCAAAGATTCTCTTATAATTTCATACATAGATAAAAAGATTCAGCAACATGAGTGGCATCTATGATTGATTTTAGTGAGAGAATTTGAATAATACGATCTTCCATGTGTTTAACAGCTGCTGAATGACTGCAGAAGAAGATTTTTTGCCTTTCTTTTGGCACTTCCATTATTATTTTATTATTATCTGTATTTGGTTTTTCATTGGAGTAGCATAGAGTAACAGAACATTTTCCAATGTATTAATGCAGGTGGTGTCCAATCTTTCTGCCACCACTCGACCTTTGTTCTATGTGGAGTCTTGGGCATGCTTTCCGAGGGAAAGAGAACGGCTGTTTAGACTGATCGATAGCAGTAAGGTTGCTTACTATTACTTTACTATAAAAGGCAGTCCTTCGGCATATTCATTATGAAGTAGCTGCCATATTTTTGAGTTTTACTTTGTTTATGACCCATGTAAAGTATTCTCATATTAGAAAAAAATGTTTCCCAGTTTGATAACAGGTGTCCTTGTAACATGTTGTAAAGCTTTAGATTTACTCATTCTAGGAGTGTTGGATATTTAACAAGATTCCACAGATGTCATCTAAAATGAATATTTGCCTTACCTGTTTATTGTTTTCATGTGCTGACTGCTGACTATATGCAGAGAAATGGGGTCTTATTTATTAGTGGTGATGTTCATTTTGGAGAAATCGCTCGTTTTGACTGCGGTGTTCAATATCCATTGTATGATATTACCTCGAGTGGTCTTACTCAGTCTGTCGAGAATTCTGTACCAGCAATATTTCAATCTGTTATGAGACTTCTGGCTTGGCTGACACCAACCCCCATGCGAGTCTTCAGCCCTAACTGCCGTCACAAATCATGCTCATATGGTAAGCTTTCATTTCCTTAGAATGTCATGACAGCATATACCCCCCTAAGTAACAATTGCCGTAGAACGTGTTTGAAGTTTTGGCTTACCGAATTGCCTTGCTTCTATCATATTACAATATGAAGGTTCTTTTCGGTTGCTGGTGTAGTTGTAATCTGTTCCCCCTTCTGCATATTTAGTACTTGTAGCTTCACAAGTTTTTTTCTTCTAAATGCTGCAGTTTAATGCTATTACCATGAAATTGTGAACATAGCATTACGAATTTTCAGCCCGTATTTGATTTATTTTCTGCTGTGGTTTGAGTTGTTCTTGTAGTCCTTCACCGGTTGGTCCTTTTGTTGTTGTATGTATCAGGTCAGCCAAATTTTGGAGCAATCGAAATAGATTGGAATGCAGTAACTCCACGGGTTAAAATTGAACTAAGAGATTTACAGGGCAATTCTGTTGATGGTGTGGAGTTCCCTATATCTGAGCTGAAGCCATCAAATGCACATGCAAACAAAAAAGAAGGGCATTCTTTTGAAGCACATTGTAGTCTCGAAACAGAGCTTCCATGGCTGCTACGGTACCGCCTTGCGATGCTATTCTTTGGCACCATTGCCGGTATGCTACTAACATCGATCTCAACATTTCAAACCACGAATTCTTGCTTTCATCACATTGCAGCACTTGTCTAGTTGTATGTCTTGATGGATTCCATATGCTACCTGCAGTTTTTGTCGTTGCTTTGGTGCTTGTCGGAATCGCTTGCTGTTCAGCTACTAAAATGTTTACTAGGAAGTGCAAGATGGCATAGCTACACATGACAGTGGACAAGAGCAGAGACTTTTCGATCTGACTAGTGTTGGACACTGACCAGGTGAGCAGGGATGTTGATTGGCCAAGGATCAACATGACACTTACTTGATTGTGAATATGGCACGCTGTGAGCACATACTGGAAAGTGTAACGAAGCTGTGACGAGTCTTCATATAGGTGGAGAAATGATGCCATGGAAATCCGTTTGGTTGGCAATGAATGAACAAATATACGGGTTTATTTGTTTGTTTTCTATGCATTTTTGTTAGGACCTCTTAACCAGCGAACGTCAGCTGGGAAGGATGACAATTGCAAACGATTTGCGTGGCAGTTTATGTTGGCAGAGGATGACAAGTTTAGTTGGCAAGTATGACAAATCTGCCCCAATTCATTTTTTGCCAGGATTTGCCGTGCTTACAAACTAAAACTGTCATCCTCGCGACAATATAAATTGTCATAAAAAACATATGATTTGTCATTCTCTCCAGCGAACATCAGCCGAGTAGATTTGATGGATAGGCTGTTGCCGTCTTCCACATTCTCATGGAAAGAAGTTGTGTGTCCTAAGCCTTTTTTGCCTGTGCAATGTATCTTGTGTTGGTCTGTTTGCATTTTCCGTGGTGTCTCCGCTATGTTGTCAGTTGGTTTTTGTACGTTGCGAAGACAAAGAGACATTGCACATTCATGATATGATGTGATTCCTCTAGCTAGAGTCGTGGCGGTGAAGATTTCAGGTCATCTCGAAATTGCGTGTCCAAGTTTCATCTCAGAGTTGCCCACTTGCCCATCCTTGTTTTGCTCCCGACAAGTCCCAGCTGGAAGTCACTAGGCGGTCCCACTCCCCGCCATCCCGTGCATAAAACTGCCACGACATCAGGCAGCACAGCAGCAAGGAGAGGATGGCGGGGATCCCGGTGATCGACCTGCAGCTCGCCGACGCGGCGCCGGAGGAGGCCGCGCGGCTGCGGGACGCGGCCTAGCGCCTGGGCTGCTTCCGGACAGGTCACGGCGTGCCGCGCGCGCTCCAGGACGACATGAAGGCCGCCTGTGAGAGGGAGAATGAATGGGCAATCGCACCTTAGGTGCTGCCGATGGCGTAGCTCTCATTATATACGAGTGTACATGTTACAACAGGGGCGCGGAGCGCCGTGGGTGGCGACGTGCATGAGATCGTGGGATCATGCAGTCGTGCATGTAGAGGAGAGGAGGAGGGAGAGAGGAGTTTGAGTGGCTAACACCCCGCCGCAGTTTGAGCGTCCGGCGGACGGATGCACAAGCTGGACCTGAACTCCTCGAAGGCCGGCGTCGGGAGCCCCTTGGTGAGCATGTCGGCGATCTGCTGTGTGGTTGGGACATAAAGAACACGGAGTTCGCCAAGAGCAACCTTTTCGCGGAAGAAGTGTATGTCCAACTCGATGTGCTTCGTCCGACGATGATGGACGGATTGGCGGCCATGTAGACGGAGGAAATGTTGTCGCAGAAGACCATGCTGGCTTTGGGCAGCGGAACGACGAGCTCGACGAGGAGTTGACGTAGCCAGCAACACTCGGCGACGGCGTTGGTGACGGCTCGGTACTCTGCTTCGGCGCTGGAGCGGGACACCGTGGCTTGCCGCTTGGAGGACCAGGACACTAGCGAGTCACCCAAGAACACGACGTAGCCGGAGGTGGAGCGACGGGTGTCGGGGCAGCCCGCCCAGTCCGCGTCCGAGTACGCGGTCATGGCGAGTGAGGCACCGCGACGGAGATGGAGCCCATGGCTTGCGGTGCCGTGAAGATAATGCAAGATACGCTTGGCGAGAGTCATGTGAGGCACCAGTGGGTCGTGCATGGCCAGGCAACATTGCTGGACAGCGTAGGCGATGTCGGGGCACGTCATCGTCATGTACTGGAGAGCACCGACGAGGCTGCGATACTCGGAGGCATCAGCGACTGGGGAGCCCGCGGTGACCGATAGCTTGGAGCGTGTGTCGACGGGCGTCGAAGCCGGCTTGCACTCGCGCATGTTGGCGTGGTCGAGCAGCTCGTCGGCGTACTTGTGTTGAGAAAGGAAGAAGCCGTCCATCGTGCGGGTGGCCGCGATCCCCAAGAAGTAATGGAGGGGACCGAGATCCTTCATCGAGAACTCGGCGGAGAGGAGTCGTTGGAGGTGTTGGAGCAGCGATGACGACAATGCAGCAAGGACGATGTCATCCATGTACAGTAGCAAATAGGCGGCGCCAACGTCGTTGTGGAGGATGAACAACGACGGGTCAGCACGCGAGTTGACGAAGCCGATCGAGCGGGCGTAAGCGGCGAACCGGGCGAACCAGGCACGCGGAGCTTGTTTGAGGCCGTAGAGAGATTTGTCGAGAAGGCACACATGATCAGGGTGGGCCTCGTCGACAAACCCAGCAGGTTGCTGGCAGTACACTTGCTCGGAGAGGCGGCCGTGTAAGAAGGCGTTGTTGACGTCGGGGCGTTGAGAGAAGCCGCGGACGACCCATCTCGCCTTGTACCGCTCGAGGGTGCCGTCGGCCTTGAGCTTGTGGCGAAACACCCATTTGCCGGTCACAATATTGGCGTGGCGAGGACGAGGAACGAGGCGCCAGGTCTTTATAACACCCTCGATGCGACTATAGCTCCCACGTGTCCAGGCACGACTTAGAGCCATAATCGCATTGAAGGCATATGTCGCAAGTTAGGCAACCATCACAACATCCCATGTAATATATATATATGATAAAAGGGGAGATAACATAGTTGGCTTACACTCGCCACGTCAATCAAGTACATAAATAACATTACATCATCCAAACACTCATGGCCCGACTACGGCGCCAAAATAAAAGATAACCCAACACGCGACACGGTCCCGATCACCCCTAACTGGGCACCACTACTGATCATCAGGGAAAGAAACATAGTATCGTTGAGAGTCCTCGTCGAACTCCCACTTGATCTCAAGCGCGTCACCTAGAGCGGAATCATCAGGCCCTACATCTGGTGTAATAGTAATCTGTGAGCCACAGAGACTCAGCAATCTCGCACCCTCGCGATCAAGACTATTTAAGCTTATAGGTAAGGCAATGTAAAAAATGTGGAGCTGCAGCAAGCGACTAGCATATATGGTGGCTATCCTGTTCGCCGAAGAGAGCGAGAAGAGGAGGCAAGGCGCGATCAAGAAACTAGAGGACAACCTGCGCAAGCATTACTCCAACAACGTGTTCACTTCCCGGACTCCGCCGAGAAGAGACCATCACGGTAACTCACACTGTTGATTCGTTTTAATTAAGTTAAGGTTCAAGTTATCTACAACCGGACATTAACAAATTCCCATCTACCCATAACCGCGGGCACGGCTTTCGAAAGTTCAAATCCCTGCAGGGGAGTCCCAACTTAGCCCATGACAAGCTCTCATGGTCAACGAAGGAATAGACCTCCTCCCGAGACGTTCCGATCAGACTCGGTACCTCGGTTCTTTAATACACTTCGACAGGTTAAAACAAGACCAGCAACACCGCCCGAATGTGCCGACAAATCCCGATAGGAGCTGCACATATCTCGTTCTCAGCGCACACTCAGATGAGACATCCTACGAGTAAAACCAACCCTCAAGTTGCCCCGAGGTGGCCCCGCAGTCTGCTCGGTCGAACCAACACTCAGAGGAGCACTGGCCCGGGGGGGGGGTTAAATAAGATGACCCTCGGGCTCCGGAAACCCAAGGGAAAAAGAGGCTAGGTGGAAAATGGTAAAACCAAGATTGGGCATTGCTGGAAAAGCTTTAATCAAGACGAACTATCAAGGGGTTTCCATTATAACCCAACCGCGTAAGGAACGCAAAATCCAGGAACATAACACCGATATGACGGAAACTAGGGCGGCAAGAGTGGAACAAAACACTAGGCGAGAGACCGAGCCTTCCACCCTTTACCGAGTATATAGATGCATTAAGATAACATGGCAATATAATGATATCCCAACAAGTAAATAATGTTCCAACAAGGAACGGTCTCCAATCTTCACTTGCAACTAGCAACGCTATAAGAGGGGCTGAGCAAAGCGGTAACATAGCCAATCAATGGTTTGCTAGGACATGGTGGGTTAGAGGTTTGACATGGCAATTTGGGAGGCTTGAAAGCAAGTGGTAGGCATCGTAGCATTGGCATAGCAAAAGAGCGAGCATCTAGCAAAGCAAAGATAGTAGTGATTTCGAGGGTATGATCATCTTGCCTGCAAAGTTGTCAGAGTTGACTGGATCCTCGAAAGCAAACTCAACGGGGTCCTCGTTAGCGAACTCGTCTCCCGGCTCTACCCAAACAAGACAAACAAGCAAACGGAACACAATCAACCACGTGCAAAACTCAAACAACATGATGCAAGGATGGTATGCTATGCGGGATGCGATGCGGGATGCATATGCAAGATTTGACAAGGAATGCATGAACCTGGGCTCAACTTGGAAATCCAAGTGTGCCACTGGAAAGATGAGATGAAATCGCTTGAAAACGATATAAAGAACGCCGGAATCGAAGTTACGGTTTGGAAATGGCAAGCAATTCAAATATGATCACGTTCTGCGATTTACAACAAGTAGCCATCTAAATGCAATGAGATGAACAAGCTACAACACCCAAACATGGCAACAAAATACATGGAAGAGATGCATTCATGATGCTTAACAAAAGTCTAGCACTGAGCTACGGCCAATTCATCCATTAACAGGTTCAAACAAGCATGGCAAAAATGCATATGGTAAACATATCTCAGACTTAGTGAAATTAACACTTGTCTAGAATTTCAGATCAGGTAGCACACTTCGGAGCAACAAAACTGTATGCTACAGGACCTGCACATGGCAAAGTAAAGCATGGCATGAAGCTACTCAAAGAGCTTAACAAAAGTCCCTTAGTGACCTTGAGCCAAAAGGGATCAGAAAATACATTTGCAAGTATGTGAACATGGCAAAAACATAATCAGTTCTCAAACTTAGTGGAAACTGGAGCATGCTGAAAACAGA